AGCTACCAAGGCCTCCACCGGACTGAGTCCAGTACAGCTAGATGGTGCCCGGCTACCACCACTGACTGCTCTGACCAGGATCACAACAGAGGGCTCTGGACAGAGCTGGAGAAGGATGTAGAGCATAATTCTAACTCACACAAAAAAGACCAGATCTTACTGGCCTAAAGGAGACTGGAGAAACCTCGAGAGTATGGTCCCCAGACACCCTTTTAGCTCAGTGGTGAAGTTACCTCTGAGGTTCACCGTTCAGTCTGGGAGTGGGCAGCCCCGTAAAACCAAATGAGACTAATGAGGTACAGTAGTTCAGTGACAAGGGCCAGAAGGCAGAAGGGGACAAGGAAGCTGGTGATAGGGAACCCAAGGTTGAGAAAGGATATATTGTTGATGTGTTGTGAGATTGTTAACCATTGTCATACGGCAACATGTGTAGTAACTGTTAAATGAGAAACTATTTTGTTCTGTAAGCCTTCATCTTAAGGAGAATAACAGCACAATTGGAAGAGCGTAGTCAATGTCACTGAACTATGCATGTAGAAATGTTTGAAATGGTGTATCTTTGGCTATGTGTATTTTCACCAAAAAAAAAAGGTTGAGAAGTTAGAGGGTTGACATGTTGTGTGGGGTGGTTAACCAGTGTCATAAAACAATATGTGTACTACTGTTTCATGAGAAACTATTTGTTCTGTAAGCCTTCACCCGAAGTACAATAAAAAATAAATAAATAAATAATAAAAATTTAAAAAAAGGACTGTTGCCTACATAATATTGGCTTTTTTGGGGGGAGGGATACTGTTTTACAACTTTATTTCTAACTGAAGACAACACTAATATCCAGTAAAGGAGAATTGTTAAATAGGGTAAGATATTGCCTTATTTGAAATTAGCTAACATTTTATGACTCAGTACATCCTCTTGTTTGATGGAAGTTCCATCAGTGTATCCAAGTGTCTTTGATAAAGGTTCAGTTTGTATTCTCTAATTTGTTGCTGTTTTTAGGTGCTCTCTGGTAGATTCCGACTCATAGCAACACCATGTGACAGGGTAGAACTTCCCCATAGGATTTTCTAGGCTGTAATCTTCATAGGAGCAGATCTCCAAGTCTTGGATTCAAACCACCAACTTTTCCTTTAGCAGCTGAAGGCTTAACCCTCCACCACCAGAGCTCCTTATTCACTAATTTAGATACACTAAATCCTCGGTATGCTTATATTTTATTGCATTATAGACGTGGTGATTTCAGTGGGAATTGTTCTTAATTTTTCCCTTCAAGCTTAATGATTAATCAGTTTTTCTTTGAATTTGTATGTTTCTATTTAGTCATGTTTTCAACACCCATTTTTATGTGCATACACAGACATGAATATCCTATCTTCATGTTTAATTTCCCTGTTGTTATTTAGCTGCCAATGAGTTGATTCCATCTCATGGTGACCCCATGTATTACAGAGTAGAACTGCTCCATAGGGTTTTCTTGGAAGTAATCTTAAGGGAAGCAGGTAGACAGACCTGTTCTTTTGTGGTAATAGAGGTAGGTTTAAACCGCCAACTTTTAGTTAGTCGTCCAGTGCAAACTGTGCCACCCAGGGTTCTTCTTTTTCCCTAGGGAAAAAAAAAAAAAAAACAAAATAGCTGCCATTGAATTGACTCCAACTTAGGTGACATTTTGTGTGTCAGAGTAGAACGATGCTCTACTGGGTTTTCAATGACTGATTTTTCAGGAGTAGATCACCAAGCCTTTCTTCCAAGGAGCCTCTGAGTAGACTCAAACTTCCAGTCTTTCAATTAGCAGCCCACCAAGTTAACCATATACGCCACCCAGGAACCTAGGAACATTAAAAAAAATTGGAAGAGTAAAAGAGGGATAATTTATATTCATATATACGGATATATGTGTGTATATATATTGCAAAAGCAGGAACGTATGTAAGGCAGGAACATGTCAGAGAAGGAAAACTCAGAAGTAAAACAAGGTAGGAGTCTTAACAGAGAGCGTGAGTAAGCACCCTGTCAAAGCCGTAAAACTTAGCAGACCCAGAAAAAAAAGGCAGTCCCATAGAGTTCCGCTCTCACAAGTTTCAAGGTATATATATTGAATATTATCAATGGCATTGATGGTGATAATACCCATGGATTATTGCCAAACCAGTATGTTCTTCTGAGCTTCAGCGTCCAGAGAGGTTTTTGAGGTTTCATCAGATGGGCGTGATTGATTGAATTTTTGCCCATGTGGCTGAACTCCAGCCCTCCACTTGCCTCTCCATCTCCCAAGTCGGGCCGGTATCATGGGGCCTGAAGCCCTGTCAGAAGAAATCAAACTCGGTTTGTAAATGACACAGCATCCTTTTCCTTCAGGCCTGTGTTTGAACATTAAGTGTTTCAAAAGAGCATGCCTACTCGTCTTCCTAATCAACTAACCCTCACGCCCACATGCAAAATCCCAGGTAACCATCCAGAAGCAGTTCCTCCCTTCTTCAGCTCTCCCTTTCCCCAGGTACACATCACATCTGGGAATCCAGATAAAGACCCCACACCCTCTCTGCCAAATTCTTGCCTCCAGTTTCCTGCCATTTGTTTTAAATTAGCCAGTAGTCCCTAAGCCCATGAAATTGAGTGAGCTCTCCTCCTTGATCCTATTAAAGGCTGAGCCCAGGTCTGTTTGCCCTCTCTGTGATTTTCTCCTTCTTTGGTGCTCCTGTGACTTCAGTGTGCAGCCCTAGAGTGATCCAGTGGGACCTGTGAGTGGTAAACAGTCATTTCTTCATTTTGGGTGTTGAATGTTAAACTGCAGCTTTGTAACCAAAGATACCCACACTTAATTTCCACACAAGTGGTCTCACCAGCTGACCCCACTGGGTGGCTTTGTGCTTCCTCCTGCAGTGGGCTCTCATTTATCTCTTTATATTTGTCTAATATTAACACAAGCCCCAGCTGTCTAATCACATGGTGGGTCTTTCTGGCATGACCAGTGTCTCAGTCATCTAGTGCTGCTCTAACAGGAATACCACGAGTGGATGGCTTTAACAAAGAGAAATTTATTTCTTCACAGTCCAGTAGGCTACAAGTCCAAATTCAGGGTGTCAGCTCCAGGGGAATGCTTTCTCTGTTGGCTCTGCAGGAAGGTCCATGTCATCAGTCTTCCTCTGGTCTGGGAGCTTCTCTGCGCAGGAACTTCAGGTCCAAAGGACGTGCTCTGCTCCCAGCACTGCTTTCTTGGTGGTATGAGGTTCCCATGTGTCTCTGATCGCTTCTCTCTTTTATACCTCAAAAGAGATTTCATTAAGACACTAATCTTGTCAACCTCATCAGTATAACCTCATCACAGTGATAGAATTTATAACACATGAGGAGATCACATATAATCTCATCATAATGGTAGAGTTTACAACACATAAGGAAATCACATCAGATAACACAATCATACAATACTGGGAATCATGACCCAGCCAAGTTGCTGCACACATTTTTTGGGGGACACAATTCAATCCATGACAACCAGCTTCTGCTCTGTGTCACCTCTTTAATATAAACTATCAGGTGAGGACCAAGTGGCGCACTACAAATCACAGATGCAGTCCTATCACTGTGGAAATTCCAGCAGTTTAGAGGTTAACTCCCAGGAGCCAGGACAAAGGCCAGAACTCTCCTTGTGATTGTTGTTAGTTGCCATTGAGTCCATTCTGACTCATGGTGACCCAATGTGTGCAGAGTAGAACTGCTCCATAGGGTTTTCAAGGCTGAGACCGTTCAGAAGCAGATCACTAGGCCTGTCTTCTGAGGCACCTCTGGGTGGTAGTCAAGCACTTAACAGTTTGTGCCACTCAGCAGCCATAGACTTCTCTTAGGTGAGATCAAATCTGCAGACGTAGGATTTAATTATGTCCATTATTCTAAAATACTGAAAAACACGAACAGAAAACGGTAACGGAAATCCAGCCAGGAAATCCGTCACTGAGAGACTACTTTTCTTATTTTGGTTAATTATACTGTTGGTGAGCATGCACCATTTGTTTCTGTCTTAGTTATCTAATGTTGCAACGACAGAAGTACCACAAGTGGATGGCTTTAGCAAAGAGAAATTTATTCTGTCACACTTTAGGAGGCTAGAAGTACAAATTTAAGGTGCCAGTTCTAAGAAGGCTTTCTCTCTTTGTTGGTTCTGGGGAAAGGTCCTTGTCATCAATCTGCCCCCTGGTCTTGAAGCTTCTGAGTGCAGGAACTCTGAGTTCAAAGGATGCTTTGTTCTCCTGGCTCTTGTTTCTTGGTGGTATGTGGTCCTCTGTTTCCTGTGTGTCTTTGGTTTTCTTCATTCTACCTTGCTCCAGACAGGGTGGGACCAAGAGACATATCTTAGATGGTCGCTCACAAACTCTTAAGAACCCAGACGCTACTCACTAAAGTAAGATGTACATTTTATTATAAACTATGTTAATGTCAACTAAGCTAGATGTCATCCAAGACGATAGTCCCCAAAGCCCTCAGCCCAGTAACTCGGTTCCCATGGGAGTCTGGATGTGTCTATGAAGCTTCTATGCTTTTGTCGTAGTAAAGTTGCACTGGCTTCCTCAGTATTATATACTGTTTAAACCTTCACCTCTCTGGCTTACACAGGCTGGTGTATATCTCAGAAGTCTCACGCCTGCACTGACGGGGTGCTTACCCACGCTGAGAAACTTGTTTCAACTTGGATCAGATCTTCTGGGGTCAGAGCAGGGCTCCACAACATGGGGAATACCTGCTAAGTGAATGCGTTGCTACAGTGTCTGACCTACACGCCGCCCCTCACAGATGACATGCTGTCCCAGGAGCAGTCTGCAACCTGTGGGAAGCAGGGCTCCTGCATGTGGTGTACAAGGAAGGATCACATAACCCGAGCCCTCTGTCATCCAGGCCATGTCATGGAGCCCCAACGTGCACTGGCTACACGCTTCCACCGACACCAACAGGAAGACGCCCATGAATTTCTCATGTCCACTCAGGATGCCATGCAGAAAGCCTGCCTGAGTAGCCACAGGCACTTCCGCAGCTTCTCTCCAGATACCACCCTGATCCGTCAAATCTTTGGCGGCTACTGGAGATCTCAGATCCAGTGTCGCCACAGCCAGGGAGTGTCAGACATCTTTGACCCTTACCTGGACATTACCCTGGATATCCAAACATCCCAGAGTGTCACCCAAGCTTTGGAAGAGTTGGTCACGGACGAAGAGCTGGATGGTGAAAATTCATATCATTGTAGGATTTGTCATAGGAAGGTGCCGGCTTCCAAAATGCTGACTTTGCACACTTGTCCTGAGGTCCTTATCCTTGTACTGAAGGGCTTCTCATACTTGACTGGTGACAAAACTGCTGAGCACGTGTGCTATCCTGAGACTCTTGACGTGAGCAGATGCATGTCTCAGCAGGACGGAGGATCGGCTGTTTACAGACTCTGTGTGGTGCTGGTCCATGCTGGGTGGACTTAGCACACGGGGCATTACCTCTCTTACGTCAAGGCTGGCAATGGCAAGTGGTATCAAATGGATGATGCCAAGGTGTCAGCATGTGATGTGACCTGTGTGCTGAGCCAACAAGCCTACGTCCTGTTTTACATTCACCAGAATGAATTGATCAGAGAGACTGGGAGTGTGCCACAGGGTGGTGGAGCAAGACGCCATGGGATGGAGGACACAGATGTGGGGACAAAGTCCAGGGGTGTCCAAAGAAGATGATAAAGTAAACGTTTCAGCGGTGGAGGAGGAGCACCTGGAGGAAACAGCCACCGAGCAAATAACTTTAGAGGAGTGGAAATTTCTGCAAACATGAGACTGACCGAAAGCTGAATTCTAGCTCAGGGTCATAGATACTGCCCTGCCCTACAATGCAGTCGTCATTCAGAATTCGAACTCTAGGGGTACGGTGCCAAAGGATCAGTGGAGCAGGAAGGCCACCAACTGAGGTTCTGGTCAGATATCTTCGGGCTTGGGTAGTCATCAACTTTGGTGATATCCTTGGCCCGCAGAGATATGTCAGAGGTAGCAAGAAGAAGAAGAAAGGGAAGGGTATCTGGTTGCTTGATGGATTCCAGTAGTATTCCTAGCATTGTATTTGTAGCTTATTAAGTTTTACTGAATTGCAGCCCCCATCATTCCAAAAACATCCATCATGTCTCCATCATGAAATGGAGAGCTCTCCCAAATATGGGCAGGAAATTCATACCTTTAGAAAACAATTAAATAAATCTGAAATATTATGCATTGTGAAAAATCTTTTAGGCTCTAGCCACCTCATATAGCTTTGTAGATGTCCCTAGTGTCATGATGAGGGCAAGAGGACAACACCGTGCTCTTTTCATGTCCTAGTATCCAAGTGTCATCTGAGGACCCAAGGTCTCAAAAATAAATGAGCAACATTCTCCCCCACAGGGCATGTATTGTCAGAATTTGGGCACCCACACTCAGCTATAAAAACATTTCTAATCACCTTTATCATCATTACAATGAAGAGTAAAACGAAAGGGAGATGTGGAAGGGCAGAGGCACATACCCAGGGCAGAGCTGTTGGCTTGAGGGCTCCCGTTCCACCACGGGGTATGTGTAAGGAGTCCCATCCATGTGAGCACCTGAGCACTTTATGGAAAAGTCCCTTTGCCACAGTGGAAAAGCACAAGGAACCCCCACTCACTGACTTCCTTGATATTTCTCCCCAAGCAAGGTGGATGTACTCCTGGACGGCTACCATCAGAATTCACAGCTCTCCAGAAAGTCTGACAGGAAAGGACACTCAGCAAAAAAGGAGAAATGGAGAACGGGTTTGGCCTTATTTGGCAGGTGGTCCGAATGCCGGAAATTATTTTCATAGATACAACTTTTAATATCTTAGTAATTTGAACACCTGGTTAATATCTAGCCCTAGAGGTACTCATAGAGGCATGTAAACACACAGATGCATGCATGCCGAGGCATGTGAACGTGGGCAAACACCTCCACACACAAAGAAACACATCTGCATGGCCACACACTCATTCACGCACACACACGCAAAAACACATCCACCAAACTCTCACACATACATTCAACATACGCCAGGGGTCTTGCTTGTCTTCCTTTTGGAATGACTCAAGACTGCCATGTCCCAAAAACCCGAACTCAGTCCCACCGTCAGTGGGTTTATGCAAGACACACAGGTGTAGACTTGCTTCGAGTGTTTAGGAATGAAAATTGCTGGCGGAGAGATGATCATTGAAGTTAGTTGTGAGTAGGGGTGGTTGAATTCTCAGCACACAGATGCAGTTGATGGCCAGGAATGGATTGGTGAATATGGAGCCAGTGGGAAAGGGAGGGAGGGATAAGGGCGTGTGGCGGAGCAGGTCAGGGATTAGGGGTAGTAAGGACTCTGCAGTTGAGATGGTTGTGGAGGTAGATGAATGGTCAAAGCTAGCTCTGAAAAGGGCTGATGTGATTGCAGTGAATGTCAAATCCAGCCATTTGGAGATTTGCTCTAAAGCAGGAGCACCTTTCTGTACCTTGAGGTCTAGGCAGGAGAAGCCTCACCATCTTAGTTCCAGAGTCATAGATGTATCGTTCCTCCACTGTGGAGTTAAGGGTCAATTCGTTGTCTCTCCAAAACTCAGCTCTTCCTGCCTCACAGCAGCAGTGGCTGAAAGGCACTACCCTCCCTGTCTGGCTGATAAACAGTGGTGGAAATCCCAGAAGCAGTGCGCCTGGGGCAACTGCATGCTTACTCCCGCTAGTAACTTTATGCGACTTGGAGCAGATCACATGGGGATGGGGCGGGGCTTCACAACCTGAACAACACCTGCAAAGTGAATGGGGCGCTGCAGTGTCTGACCTACACACCACGTTTTGCAGACTACATGTTATCCCAAGAGAACTCTGCAACCTGTTGGCAGCGGGCTACTGCGTGCTGTGTACAATGCTGGCTCACATCACCCGGGCCCTCCATCATTCAGGCGACTTTATGAAGCCTTCTCTTGATCTGGTTAGAGGCTTCCATAGACACTTAGAGGAAGACGCCCATGAATTTCTGATGTCCACTTTGGATGCCATGCAGAAAGCCTGCCTGCTTTCCTTTGCTATTTTCCAATGTTTCCCCCGAAGCCCCAAAGTTTACAGTTATTGAGATTTGTAGTGCTTTTTCCCCAATATTCTTGTGCACCTGACAAGAAATATTTGTTTTCTTTCATTTGGGAAGACCAACAATATACCTGGATTGTGAAGACTTAGGGTTTCATTGAATCTGCCACTTTTCTTAAATTTTACATGCTGATTAACAGTCTCTGAAATTTGACAATGATTTATTACTATGCTTCAGTTATTCTTTATTGCAAATACTTTTTTAACAACAGAAACAATGACTACACATGTGGACCTCGCCAGATGGAGTCCAAACTAATAAAATGACTACATCTGTGGAAAGAGACAAGGAAAAGCTCAATATTATCAGTCAGAACAAGACCGGGGCTGACTGGGGAGCAGACCATCAATTGCTCATATGCAAGCTCAAGTTGAAGCTGAAGAAAATTAAAACAAGTCCACGAGAGCCAAAGTACAACTTTGAGAATATCTCAGCTGAATTTAAAGACGATCTCAACAATAGATTTGACATGTTGAACACTAATAACTGAAGACCAGATGAGTTGTGGAATGACATTGAGGTCATCATACATGAAGAAAACAACAGGTCACTGAAAAGACAGGAAAGAAAGAAGAGACCAGAATGGATGTCAGAAGAGACTCTGAAACTTGTCTTGAACATCGAGTAGCTAAAGGGAATGGAAGAAAGGATAAAGTAAAAGAGCTGAACAGAAGATTTCAAAGGGTGGCTCTAGAAGACAAAATAAATTATTATAATGACATGTGCCAAGAATCTCTAATTAGAAAAACAAAAAGGTACGAAGACTTTCAGTTTTTGTCAAGCTGAAACAACTGAAGAAAAAATTCAAGCCTTGAGTTGCAATAGTGAAGGATTCTATGGGCAAAATACTGAAGGAAGCAGGAAGCACCAAAAGAAGATGGAAGGAATACACAGAGTCACCATACCAAAACGAATTGGTCGACATTCAACCATTTCAGGAGGTAGCATATGATCAAGAACCAATGGTACTGAAGGAAGAAGCCCAAGCTGCACTGAAGACATTGGCGAAAAACAAGGCTCCAGGAATTGATGGAATACAAACTGAGATATTTCAACAAACAGATGCAGCACTGGAAGTGCTCACTCATCTATGCCAAGAAATTTGGAAGACAGCTACCTGGCCAACTGACTGGAAGAGATCCATATTTATGCTTACGCCAAGAAAGATGATTCAACCAAATGCAGAAATTATCAAATAATATCAATATCACATGCAAGTAAAATTTTGCTGAAGATCATTCAAAAGCAGTTGCAGCAGTATATTGACAGGGAACGGCCAGATATTCAAGCCAGATTCAGAAGAGGATGTGGAACGAGGGATATTACTGATGTCAGATGGATCCTGGCTGAAGGTAGAGAATACCAGAAAGATGTTTACCTGTATTTTATTGACTATACAAAAACATTTGACTGTGTGGATCATAACAAATTACGGATAACATTGTGAAGAACGTGGATTCCAGAACACTTAAATGTGCTTATGAGGAACCTGTATATAGATGAAAAGGCAGTCGTTTGAACAGAACAAGGGGATACTGTGTGGTTTAAAGTCAGGAAAAATGTTTGTCAGGGTTCTTTCCTTTTACCATACTTATTTAATCTGTATGCTGAGAAAATAATCCGAGAAACTGCACTATATGAAGAAGAGTGTGGCATCAGGATTTAAGCACCTGACAACAACACAACAACGAGGTGCCGTCGAGTTGTTTCCAACTCATAGCACCCTATGCACAGCTGAATGAAACACTGCCCGGTCCTGCGCCATCCTCACAATCGTTGTTATGCTTAGGCCCATTGTTGCAGCCACTGTGTCAATCGGTCTTGTTGAGGGTCTTCCTCTTTTTCACCGGCCCTCTAATTTACCAAGCATGATGCCTTTTTCCAGGGACTGATCCCTTCTAATAAGGTGTCCAAAGTATGTGAGACGTAGTCTTGCCATCTTTGCTTCTAAGGAGCATCCTGGTTGTACTTGTTCCAAGACAGATTTGTTAGTTCTTTTGGCAGTCCATGGTATATTCAATGTTCTTCGCCACACCACAATTCAAAGGTGTCATTTCTTCAGTTCATCATTGAGCTTTGTCATGTAGATGAGGCAACTGAAAACACCATGGCTTCAGTCAGGTCCACCCTCGTCTTCAAGGCAACATCTCTGCTTTTCAGCACTTTAAACGGGTCTTTTGCAGCATATTTGCCCAATGCAATGCCTTCTTTGATTTCTTGGCTGATGCTTCCATGGGTGTTGACTGTGGATCTGAGTAAAATGAAATCCTTGAAAACTTCAATCTTTTCTCCATTTATCATGATATTGATTATTGGTCCAGTTGTGAGGAGTTTTGTTTTCTTTATGTTGAGGTGTAATCCATATTGAACACTGTGGTCTTTGAACTTCTTCAGTAAGTGTTTCAAGTCCTCTTCACTTTCAGCAAGAAATGTTGTGTCATCTACATATCGCACGTTATTGATGAGTCTTCCTCCAATCCTGATGTCCCATCTTCTTCATATAGTCCAGCTCCCAGATTGTTTGTTTAGCATACAGACGGCAGCTAACAACCAGAATTCTTATCAAGCCTGAATTGAGGACAGCATTCTTTTGTTAATGCAGCTGGTTAATGGTGGTTACAAGGCCTCTATAGAAAAATTAAAATTGGCCCAAACATTAGTCTAATTTTTAGGTCATATAATTTCATCAAAGAGGGTTACTATAGATTCCAAAAGGAATCCATTTTAGCTTATCCCATCTGTACCACTAAG